TCTCACTCACACACACACACACACACGCGCTCTCACACACACGCTCTCACACACTCTCTCTCACACACACGCGCGCTCACACACACGCGCGCTCACACACACGCGCTCTCACACACTCTCTCTCACACACTCTCTCTCTCACACTCTCACACACTCTCTCTCTCACACACACACTCTCACTCACACACACACTCTCACTCACACACACACACTCACTCACTCACTCTCATACACACACTCTCACTCACTCTCACACACACTCCCACTCACTCTCACACACACTCTCACACACACACTCATACACACTCACACACTTCATCTGGGGCTCCAGCATCGGATCCTCCTGAACATTAAAGTAACTTTATGAAATATGCATCGTTTCAAAGCAGCTTTACATAAATCCTGATGTTAATGTTTCTAAGATCTTCACGCCTAATAAATGCACTGAGCAGATTAGAGCTGGATGATAATATTACATTGTGTGGTGATATAAACAATCAAGCAGTTGATATCTGCAGTATAGCAGCGCTTTATGAACTGTATGTGGATAAAGCTGGATATGTTAGACATAGGTTAAAGTTATTAATTTATTATATGGTGATATTGAGGATTACGACGGTTTTGTGCAGTTTATAACAGATATAATTGATATAGTGTGAAGCGTAATATTATATGGTTATGCGTGTCAATGATGCGATTAAATTATGCATATTAATGACAGGGTTACAGTTTCGATCATATCGCATACTGACAGCAGTTTAACTATAGTTATGGAATAATATTTATCCACAGGCCTGTCACTGTTATTGATTAATCGACTGATGGTGGTTATTTGATCTAATCTCGATTATTTGAGATAACTGTGCAGTTTATATTCCAATCCCAAACTAGGATGACAGCGACGGAGTTAGAAAACATCAGTAAAACTGTGTGTAAACAGTATCAGTTTTGTTTGTTTCATGTATCTGTAAAGCTCCTGAAAGACACTATATGAAAATGAAGTATTATTATTATGATCCGTACACATCACCACAGAGACACAAGCAGAAATCTATCTGTGTCCCTGCAGCACAAAAGCAGTGTTAAGTCGCTGGGGTATATTTGTAGCAATAGCCAACAATACATTGTATGGGTCAAAAAAATACATTTTTCTTTTATGCCAAAAATCATTAGGATATTAAGTAAAGATCATGTTCCATGAAGATATTTTGTAAATTTCCTACCGTAAATATATCAAAACTTAATTTTTGATTAGTAATATACATTGCTAAGAACTTCATTTGAACAACTTTAAAGATGATTTTCTCAATATTTAGATTTTTTTACACCCTCAGATTCCAGATTTTCAAATAATTGTATCTCGACCAAATATCCTATCCTAACAAACCATACATCAATGGAAAGATTATTTATTCAGCTTTCAGATGATGCATAAACCTCAGTTTCAAGAAGCTGACCCTTATGACTGGTTTTGTGCTCCAGAGTCACATTT